CTACAAACAGGAACTGTTCACATAATAAAGATAAATAAGTTTTACTGGTGGGCAAGCAACAACTTGCGAGGTCCCTTTTCAGTAAAAATGCTCACTTGTACTTTCTCAATTCCTGTGAAATAAGGAGGAAAACCCTAAAGTACAGGTAATTCTGCATTTCAGGAGTGTCAGTTGTATTCTGTGCATTTCCATGGATAACACGGTTGGTTGTTGCCAAGATCCTTTACATTGAAGTGTGACAATACCAGATGGTAAAAGCTAGGCCAGCAGAGGGATCCAGTAGTGGTGCAAACATTACTGTTCAGTAAGTTACAAAGTGGGGGGGGGGGAAGGGTGCTGAGCTGTGCTAAGGGTTTGGCTACTTCACCTATGTGTTTATATTGGCAAGAAGTGTGTTGAAAAATCTGGCCCTACTTGTTTAGTTCAACTATGATGAGCATCCAGTGTTTTCCTAGAAATCCATACAGCCTTCAGAACTAGCTCATCATTTGGGTCACACTGATATTTTATAGCTGGAAACTGGTAAGAAACCAGCAAATGTAATCAGTGATGAAAGAGCACCTTTTGCCTTCAAGTGCAATATTGATGATGGTGTTTTTTTAGCACCTCTCTGGGTGGAGAAACATTTACCTCATAATGCCTAATTATAAAGCCTGCAGTCAATTATTAACATTTACATTATGTTGCAAAGCTCATCGAGAAGACAAAAGGAGCAACCAGCCTGTTCAAGCGCAGTGCCGGAAGCAATTCCATTGGCATGTTCTCCCTGCGCTGAGTTTGGCTGCGAGTCACACGGCTGTTCTGCACGGCACCTGTCTACATCTCTGTCTGCCTTCTTATGAGGCACCTAGAAAAAAGTACAAACCTCACATGGGCAAAACTTTAACCCTTGCTTCCAGTCAAACCAACTTGTGTGGAACTGGAGAAACAAGTCTTATGCACACACACTGCGAGTCTTAAATAGCACATCTGCACAGCCTTGAATTTTAGCATATTTTATATTATATCACGACTATGCAGCCGATGGACTCTCTCACCCACCCACTGCTGAAGGAAAAAGGCCAGTGACACCTGTCAATAAATTCAGTGCTGTATTGACCAGGGTAGAGGCACTGCTTTGCTTTAGAGATCTGCCGGATCCAGTGCCCTGACCACGTATCCCACGCTGGGAGCTGGAACACAAGTACTAAAGCAAAGACCGCAGCAATGGAGGCAACCTCAGAGCAGAGGGAGTTTTTAAGAGACGAAAGCAGGTCTGTCTGGCAACAGAGCCGGGAACCCATCGCGCAGACCAGGACAGGTGAAATTAAGGGCACCATACCCAGGCCTCAAAAGCAATATCCCAAACTCAGAGCACACGTATGCGTTTGGAAACCTGAACTAACTGACACTATTTTCAGATAAGCTGAGCCCACGGTAGATCCCATCAAAAGCAGGCAGCACTTCGGGTTACATGATACTGCTGAAAAGCAGGTCGCTTACTGGCTTAC